CGAAAGCAGAACCTTCCTCATAGGGGCGCCATGAGCACTAAATTAGCATTTACTATGTGTAAAGTTCTTAACGCGGTTGCCAACGCGGTGCCTGGCACCTAGTAAGCGCTAAGTGCCTGCCTGAGAGATGACAAAAGCACAGCTCAGGCCACGCGGGGCAGGGGATGGACGGAGGTCTGAGGCCTGGCCTTAGACTCCAAGGCCCTTCCCAGCCTCAGCCCTTTGCAGCTCACCAAGGGCAGGTGGCCAGCCCCTGACTCTGAGTGCAACTCCCCCAACCCACAAACACCCACCCTGCAGTCCTCCCCACGCCCCAGGCAGAGGCTCCTCAGGGAATTATTTCTCCCAGACTCTAAGGAATGTTATTTTCTCTTTACTTGGTGGCTAGATTACTCATTTTCAGTCCAGCTTTCAAGTGGCCTCCAAGATGAGCTCTGATTAAATTCCCATAAAACCACAGGAAGGGATGCTCGGTCTGTGGCATGCACACCCCCTCACCAGGGAGGCCTGGCGTCCAGGACAGGCCATCTGTCACCTGCAACACATGTGGGGGGCCTTCTGGAGAGCCACCTCTCACCCCAAAGTCAACAGAGCTCTCAAGGATCTTTCCGGCCTATTGCCCTGTGGCCCGAGACCCTCCACACCTGCTGTCCCTGGGGACAGAGCACAAACCCAGGCCACCCAATCACAGCCCAGGTGCCTTTTCACACATGGCTGCAGCCAGTTCAGGAGCCAGCAAGAGTCTTGCCCAGAATCGCTCAGCCTGGGGCTTGGGGCTTCCATCTTTGGACCCTGGCCCTATGTGGCAGAGTGAGCAGCCAACGGAAGAAATGGCCTGCAAACGCATGCCAGGCAAATCACAGTTTGTCACCGCGGGCTCCTCCCTCCCTTCCCCATGCCTGCGCCAGGCAAGGCTTAATTTCTAGGAGGCTTCTGTGCGTGGTTTGAATCACATCCAGGCTCAGTGTTGCCTGTGCCTCTGCCTAAGGGACAGGGGTGTGGGGAGGGACGTGGGCGTGGGTGCAAGCGTGTCGCCCTAGCGGCTGCCTCCCAGAAGCCGTCATCTATGAGGGGAAACCGAGGGGCGTGTCCCTCTGCAAGCCTCCAGGTGTCTCGGTCTCCAGCGGCTGCACAGACGGGACTGTCACGAGGTCACAGGCTGAGGCTACATCCCTAGCCTTCCAGAGGCAGAATGGTCATTCTGAGGTCTTCACCCATGGGAAAGGTGGGTCCCCAGGCAGGGGCCCACGTCTTGGGAGGTGACATGGAAGACAGCTCACAGTTCTCCAAAACTCAGTCTAGCCCTTCTTCCCATGGTGACAAAACAACTCAATTTTAGCTGGGCACTTGGCTGTCCAGAACGAGGACTGTATTTCCCAACTCCCTTGCAGCTCAGTAGGTGACTAATTCTGACCAGGGATGTAAGAACAGAATGTCATGTTGTAGCTTCCAGAACCCTTCCTTAAACGATAACTGGGGCCTGTTCCCCTTTGCTTCCTTGTTCCTAGTTGTGCTCTCCATCCTACTGTCTAGATCTTGGATGCGAGGGCTGGAAGTTCAGCCACTATCTGGGATCAGGAGGGCAACGCTAGGGAAGAATAGTGAGCTAGAAGAAGCCGGGGTCCCTGCCACCGCACGCCAATGCTGGATGGGGCTCCTCGGGGCTTTTGCTGGAGATGAAATCCTATCTCATTTAAGCCACCATTACCTTGGGTCTCTGCTGGTGCCAACTGAGTGGGTGGGTTTGAGGCTGACAGATCTGAGGCAGAGCAATGGCCCTGCTCCCCTCCAGGCTCTGATTTAGATGAGGCTGAGCTCTGGGAACATGGGATTGAGATGGCACTGACCAAGGCTGCCTAGAGACTCAGACAGGCAAGGCCGCGAGCTCCAGGAGCAGGCCTCAGCTGCCTCCCTGATGCGGAAGGGGAGGGAGAGGTTCTCCATGCAGATGCTCCGCAGGGAGGCAGATGGCCCACCTGAGTGTGGACGCTCGGTGCAAGTGCTCTGCCCGTTATCTTGGGATGGCCTCCCCATGAGCCATGGCCCCCTCCCCACCCCCACTGCGGAGCAAGGGGCCCTGGTCATCCCCTCCCCACTATCCATCAACAAGGACCCAGGCAGCCCTGCAGCAGCCTCCCGCCAGCTCTGTTCCCTGCAGCCACTCAGGTTCTCTGAGGACAGGGAGAGAAGCCTTAGCAGGAGGGATGGTGACAACTCCAGGAAGTCTTGCCAAGCCCCTTCCCCCAACACAAAAGCAATGTCACTTAGATTGCTATTATTATCTGAGGGAACTTCAAGGGTAATTATGGGCATTTACCATATGCCTAAAAGGGCTGCAGGCCTCCAGGAATAGCAGCGAGTGGGATGGAGGAGGGCCCAGGATGCGCCTCCTGGGAAGCCGTACTGCCTCTGCAGAGGGCAGCAGTGTTGGGGAATGGACAGCCCCGCTGGTGGGCAGCCCCAGCGTGGGCAGGAAAGGGCTCCAGGAAGTCCCAGCCTCCAACCGCCCTCCTGGAAGAATGCAAGCCCAGGCTCGGCATACACGATAAGAAATCCAGGGTGCAGCACTCACGGCCCACCCACCCAACATTTCCTGCTGGCCTAGGACCAAGCGTCCAAGTGTGCTCTAGGCTTTGGCCAACAAGCTCTCGCTGGACCTCAAGGGGACTGGGTCCTCTCCTGGAAGACCCACACCTCTCCCATGGTGGGCAGCTCCTGAACTTTCTAATCCCCCAACTGAACTGAGACATTCCCCTGCCCAAAGATCCTGACCTGTCCCCTCACGCCCCCAGGTGAAGCCCAACTCCAGTGTCTGGCAAGCAGGCAACAGAGCTCCCGGCTACCCACCTCCTGGACCTGCCTCTCCTCCTGCTATTCACACGCTGCCTCCTGCACCTGCTGCGGTCCAGCCTCATCAGTGGTTCACGCTCCCTGACCACACTGTGCACGCTCCACCCCGAGCCCAGGCTCACCCTGAGCCCCAGCCCGGATTTTCTCTCCTGAAAACCTCACACACTCTAAGACCCAATCCAAATGCTTGGGCCCTGCCGTCGTGGTAGGCACAGCTTCAGCAGCTGCCATTCCTGGGTGACCGGGTGGGCCAAGCACCGTGCTAAGTGCTCTACAGATGTCATCCCAATTATCCTGACAGCTGTGATGAAGCAGTTATTACCCACATCTTCCAGACAACAGGCAGAACCGGAGCCAGTGACTTGTCGGAGACCACATGGCTAGCACGTGCCCAGACCCACACCCAACCTTGGTCTGTCTCCTCCAAAGCCGGTGCTTTTGGCTCTGAAAAAGCCCCTCGCAGCACCTTCCCAAATCCCACCAGATGCATCGGTCTTCTGATGGACTTTTCCAGGACCTGAGATGTGGCTGCTGACCTACCATCTTCCTCCGCCAGGTGGGCCTTCTAGTATTTGAATACAATCTCCTGTCCCTTCATAGTCAGTGTCCAACAAACACGCCTTCCGTCCTTCCAGAACCAACATTTGGCCAAAATGTCACCCACAGCAGACTGAGGTGAAGACGGTTCCAGGAGGGGATGTTCAAAGAGAACGTCACTGCAGCTCTTTCTTCCCATCTGGACTCTCGACAGACCCAGGAAAGAAACGTAGAGGGAGGGGAGGCTCATGGTGGAGGCTGACCACGCCAGGCTGTGCAAGAAGGACGGCTGGTGTGCAGGGAAAGTCTGCCCACGTGGGGCCCCAGGATGACACCCGCATCCTCTACACCCTGCTGGTGTCGGGCACCCAGGGAAAGAGGCCTGGAGACTCCTTTCAGGACAGCTGGACCCGGTAACCCGATCTCCCGCAGGGCACTCCTCAGAGAAAGGGCCAAGGGCTCACCAAATCTCCAGGCCAAGGTCCTCGGCTGCAACCACATCAGGTGCTTGCTGGATTCACGGCCTTCTGGCCGTGGGCAGGGAAGTTGAGCTTAGTGGGTAGGAGCCTGAGCCAGAGAGACCTGGAGGGTTGCTGGCCTGGCCACCTATACGCTGGGTGGTGTCAGCATATCTGCTAACCTCTCAGAGCCTCTGTGACTCATTTGCAAAATGGGAAGGATCGTGGTACTCACCTTTAAGAGCAATGAAAGAGAGAGTATCGGGAGAAGGCCTAACCCAAAGCCAGGCACACAGCACATACCCAATAAATGCTGCTCTCGTATTCCCACAACGGTCCCCTTGCAGAGGGGCTGCCTCTGGCCTTATAAGCCAAACTGGACCCACTGGTCCCACCATCACAGGAGATGATGCCTGGGGCCAAGTCACCATCCAGGTCAGGGCTCAAGGCAGCCAGGTTGGGCCATAGTCATGGTCTCCATGGCAAGGGGCAGGGGCTGCCTCTCCTGGCCCTAGGATGAATCCTCATGCAGCCCCAGGGACTAGGCAAAGCACTTCTCCTTCAAATCGAACAAGAGCCCTGAGCAGGGAACACAGCAGGCAAAGAGAACTAGAAGGTTACCGTGAACATGAATCTCTCCAAAAAGTCCTTCTGACATAAACAAACACCTTGAAAAGGCGGCCTTCACTTCTCTGGAGCTGCCTGCTCCTGGGGTGGGGAGATGAGTCCCCAAGGACAAGAGCCTGCAGCTGGCAGGAGAAGCTCACGGAGAGGGGGGAGGATCCCACATGCAAGAACAGAGCGTACCCCGTGAGGTCCAGCAGCCGTGTCACATGTCTCCGTGTGTTTGATTAAGGGCCCTTCATTGCTGTCTGTCTCCTTGGCCCGGTTGCGTAACTCCACTCGCCTCCCTACTGCTGAGCCGTCTACGCACACTCTGCTCTCTGATCACTGTGTCATCGGGACACTTCATCACCACCCGATGGGCTAAACACAGCGCTCAGAGCCACTCTCCCAAAGAGCACGCCGAGGTCACAGGAGGAGAATGAAAGGACCTCCCTTCTTCCTGTCCCAAAGTACCCAACAAGTTGAGACCCCTCAGCCCCCACTTCACACGATGGCCTGCCGTGGACGGCGAGTCACACATGTCCATACCTTCCATGTAGGCCTCAATCTTCCGGATGAGCTCGTAGGACTTGGAGCGGTCAAGCAGGGTCCTGATGGCAGGGAGGGGGTCCAGGACGATGGTCTCAGGGTGGGCATCGATGTATTCCTGAAAGAAAAGCACACTCCCGGTTAGAGACCAGAGGCTGAGCAAGACTTTCCCCTCGAGCCCTCCATGCCCCAGCCCACATTCGTCCCAACCCACCAGCTCTGATTTCAGGGTGGGGCGCCACATCACTTTGGAGGGGCCCATCAGTGCACCCCAGCCCTGGGGCTGCGGCCTCAGGAAAGGATATGTGACCCCGAGTCAGTCCTTGCAGGGGCAGGCTCAGGGCTCTTGATGGCAATGCTGGGAGGAGCGTGCTCTCGCCCTCATGGAGGAGAAGGGAGCACAGAGGCCGGGCACTGAGCACAGCCACTGGAAGGACTTAGAGAGAGGCCTGATGGAGGCAAGGCTCGGAAACAGAACTGAGAAAAGGAGAGCGACCAGGTTCCAGTTGGGCTGTTTGACCCCTGGATAAAGCCTCACCTGAAACCAGCTCTGCTGCATGTGCCGATTATGCTAAATGAGCAGCGGCCCAGCATCCCGCGCTGCTAAGGACCCTGCAGCAGGGCCAGGGAGAGTGGACTGAGGTTGGGAGTCATTGAGTCTGTGGGAAGAAGGCGTGGCAGAGAGAAATGTGCCACAGGGCGGCCACCGGCCACCAACACTCAAGTATTTCACTTTATGGTAGGCACTAAGGAAATGCAAGAGAAACTCAGAAAAATCACAGTTTTTAAGAAATTAACAATATTCGTGGGAAAATAACCCTAATTTACATGGGGGAAAAAAGATACTTTAACGATAACAAAATTCAATAAAATACAGGACAAAATGTAGGAAAACAACAGGTGGAGAGACA